TGTGTTGAAATATATTGATTAGAATCAGTTTAAATTGGGAGATAATTTTTATTTTCATGGAATTATGGCAACTATTTTTTACATAAAACACAAATTAAAAATTATATAATGTAAGTCTAAGGGAAAATGAGACTTGACTTAGGGACATTTCAACTTAGGGATGCTCTTGATGCACCAATTACATTCGCATCTGCTGGGGGTCTTACTCTAGCCATTGAAAAATAACCTTGAGTTTTCAGGGGATTTTTCCAAGAAAGGACTTTGTATGTATATATTTTTTTCCTTCACCTGGATAATGACAAGATAATGCGACTCTTGGAATGAACAATGCACTTTATTCCGTCTCATTCCGTAAGTGAAGAAACGGTCTTGACAGGACTTTTCCCGCCTCCGCGATGTCAAAAGAAGACAAGTCCCTTCCCGTCTATTTAGTCCCTGTAATGATGTCATAAACATGTCGAAACTAGGTTCCTTATATATTCAAAATAAAACGAAAGATAATAAAGCTTTCGGAAAAATAAATTCCCTGGAATCCCTGTATCATAGACGTTTAACAAATGTTCTCGCAATAAAAAAAAATCAAGGGGCATCAGGTGAACGGAAACAAAGTTTTGGTATCAAGTACAGTATCTGAATGTGTCAACTGACTAAACTTTGAAAGAAGTTCATTAAAATGTATTCCTTCGTCGGGATTTTTTTTTTTTTACCTGCTATTATTACGTTTTCTTTGTGCTGTGACGGATACTCACCCCGGATGTACACGTTTCTACACTTGTAATGAGTGTCATATTACAGGGATCATCCGGAATCCGGCCCCCGTCTAACGAATAGCTCATTATTTTCAGCTGGGTAAAGTAAAAACTACTTGCTAAAGTCAGCTGCTGAGCTGATCTACTTTATGTCACTTAATTTTCTTACAGAGTTTTCTCTTGCCGCATCATGAAAAAGGATGGGTCAGTACCTCTATAGGTACTGATCCAATAGAGGGAAACATTTAATTAAGTTTTTCAATATATTTCAGCTGTGCTATCACATTTAAAGAGTGCAGTCAACCTTGATTTAGTGCCCCCTGATTTAGTGCCACCCTTGCATAGTGATGCCAATTTCCCTGCAACAAAGGTCCCTCTATTGTATTCTCAAGTGAAACCCTGGTTAAGTGGTAGTAATGCATTTAGCACCATAAAAGAATTCCATCTCTCGAATGAAAAATAGGCCAAACTCAGAGAAATCAAGGCATATTTCTTGGGATTATCATTAGGTCATTACTGAGAATTACATGTCAATGCACAGGATAATTTTGAATATTCTATTTCTGAATTGACCTTTATTTTGGGTATTTTTATTTGGATTTTTTCTACTGCCAAGAGCATCTCAATACGTAAGATAGTTTCTTCAAAAACTTGAAATTACTCCACCTTGCCTTGGAATTGTGTGCTTTCATTGAAAGGTTTATACGAAACAGGTCTTTTTTTTACTTGTCCCAACCCAGTAAACACAAGTAAGGTATATGTTTTCTGTCCAAATTGATTAAGTTATCAAAAATTAGTTGAAATTTGTTCCAAATCTAATCCAAAATTCACGCATCCAAAAATTTACGCATTAATCCAAACAGTTGAATTTTTTCATATTTTGGATTTCAGGGAATTTTCATCAATTCTTTTCCAAAAAATTGTGTGTGCATAGGGTTAAGGTGTGTTTTGCATTCCAATGAAATTTCGTATTGGTTGCTAGAGTCCACTATTATAAATTAGACAGGTGTTCCCCAATCTTTCTTTGCTTGCAGATGGGCAACTTTGAATAAAATATTTTGCAGACCTGCTAACTGTCATAAAATTTCTGCAGACTGGCCAAGTTCCATACAATTTTTTAAGACCAGGAACATTTTTAAATACCTGCCATGAATTTCTCAAAACAAAACTTGCATTGCAAAAATTAAGTAAATAATGAAGAATCATCTATATACTGTATGGGAATGTCTTCAAAAAAGAATGCTAAGCTTCAAGAAAGGCTTCTCAGATTCAAAACTGAAAAAAATATATTTCTGACAGGTGGAGATATTTCTGAAGCTTGAAGTGTATAATAAGAAGAAAAGCCAACTTTTATTTTTCTCCAAAAATTTCATTTGCCATTTTTCGGAAATATCTGATAATTAACAATAACAGGCTTTATTACTACCTTCTATAAATTTATTATGCTAGAGAAATTTTCCAGTGGACTAGCAAAAAACTTCTGCAGACCAGGGATTGGGGTGCATTGAACTAGACCACCATTTTCAATTTACCAGGATGTATATTCACTTCAATAATTTGTAAAGAAAAATACTTCAAAAATCTCAGCTTGCATACTTATGCATTCATTCACCATGAGTAAGTGTGGGAATCAGCATATTATTGTCTTGGACTGGAATGAACTGGAAGGACATACAAGGACACGTATTGTACTGCTTTTTTTTTTTTAAACAATAACAACTACGACAAAAACATGAAAAATGAAGAATGTGGGTGGTCTCGGGAGTGGCATCTGGGGCTTCAACATTCCTCTCCCAAGGTATGCGTCAAAATATTTGGGAAGGACTTTCAGGCAAGCTTGTTCACCTCAAATACTATTCCTAGCTGCGAAAGTTTCACATCAGCAGCAGCAGCAGCACCCATAACACGGAATCCTGTAACGGTGTTTAAAAGAAAAAAAAAAGAAAAAAAAAAAACAGCACCCGGGTTTCAAAAACATCAAGAGGGGTCAAAAACATGACGGGTTCCTTAAATGCAAGAAGGGGGGGGGGGAGAGTGGGTCCATTGCGGATCTATTAGTCCCTGTTCCTCGCAGTCAAGAGGGAGAGAGAGAGCGACATTCCAAACGCCGGGTTTCGGGTTACATCCCTTCATTCTTTTTTTTTTTTCGAAAGGGGTTAGACTGGGTTAGAACAGGCGCTAAACGTGAAAGCGGATGACCTCGATCGCATCCCGGAGGAGCTCGGCTTACGTGATTTCCGCAGCTGTGTCTAATGACACCCCTGGCACGTGTTTCTAATGTCTTTTTCCTACTTCATTATCTCTTTTCTTTTATGGCTCTTGGCTTGGGTCACGTCAAGTGCGTCATTTTGATTCAGCTACTGGGTTTCAGCCTTTATAGTGTGGGGCTCATGGCATGAAAAAGTGTTCCCAACATGTGGTTCCTGGACCAGCCCTCTGGTCCTCCCAGATAATTTTATTTATGAAAAGTAGCAATAAAGTCTGATTCCTGTATTTGACAATTTGAATTCACAATGGAATTTGAAAATTATCTGTCAAAAAGTGAACTTTGGATTTTCTCCTATAATAACACTTCACATAAATTTTCATTCTGAAGAAACATTTCTGCAAGCCCTCCTCATAAGTTTTGAAAAAATATTCCACTATAGCTACTTCATTGGTTCTTAACTTAATTTGGGCAAAAAGCAGAAACTTTTTAAATACCTTCCATAAATTCTTTCAAACAAAACCTTTCTGAGACTGCAACAATTTTATGAAACTTTGTCAGTCTGCAGAACACTTGAAATAAAGTTTGCCAATCCCTCAATAATTTTATTGATATTTCTTGTCCCACCTGCCTTTTAAAAAAAATTGAAGAACACTAACAAAAAATACAGGGTGCTCCTGGTTTGAGTCACAATGGAGTCGGTATACGCAGGCCACTGAGCAGTGAGCACTGTTGGAAATGGAATTGGTCTGCAGATTTGTTTGATTTGGATCTTTTTTGATGATTTGGAATGAAATTTAGACAACAATCAGCTGGGCTGCGGCCTGGGCGCTTGACACCCTAGTGTAAGGTTGATGTATTTTTGAGTATTTTGATGGATAGTTTTGACAACAGCAGTTTTTGCAAGCAGTCTTTTGCGTAAGACAACACAGAAGCAACTGATGATTCAATACAGAAATGATTTGCTATTTATGCAATTTCCTTTCTATGGCAGTTTGGTCCCTGTAAGTATTATCCTTCTAAAAGGATTTCCCCAAGAATTAGGAATCTTGTGGGAACCCAAGGTCATGCTTGGTCCCATCAAAACCCGAACTTTCCCAAAGTTCTGCTGTTTTCCTGGCGCCACTCTAATCCTGTCTTTTTTAGTCCTATTACTTATTTCAATTTTCAACAAGCAACATCTGTTGAATAACTGGAATCACTGAGCACCATACCCTCTGGACTGACAGGGCTTGCTCATAGTTCCTTTTGTTACAGCTGGGATAGGTCAACAGATGTCACCACTGTGATACAGGAACCAAAGCAATTTGCAGTTCATGCCCTGGGATGCATGTATCAGTAATGTTGTGCTGCTGCAGCTGGGTATCCATGTGCTGCAAAACTAATCCACAAAAATATAGCAGACCAGAGGCAAGGTTGAATCTTCCTCTTTGTTCTCACAGGGGAAGGAATCAGAGTTGGATCTGCCTGTGCAGCAAATGATTGTCTATGCATGTGTTACCCAACCCTTTTTGGCCCATGGATCAGGAAATCTCCATAACATTTTCCACAGATTGGGAAATTTACATACCATTTCTCTACAACTGGCATATTTCCAAAAAGAATTTGTCTTTTTGTTCATATTGAGTCATTCATGAAATTGAGAAACCATAGCATTTATATTTTTATTCCTTGTGATTTTAAAAAATTGAAGAAACACACTCATTTTTATCAATTAGGATGAGCATCAAAATTGACATCAGAAAAAACCAAGAAGAAATATTTTTGATGGACTCCTTATACAGTACTTGATTAAGAAAATGTCGCCAATTCTTTCCATTAGAAAGATTGGCTTTAACTTGAAAGCCACTCCATTTTTTGATGATATTCATTCATTTTTAATATCATAAAATCAAAATATGCCACTTTAGTCCTGACCATGAATGCGATCAAATAAATACTTGCTGGATCCAACTTGAAATGTGGCAGGAATTCGAAGAGAAAAACGACAATGCTCACTCGATTCTGGAATTCAAGACATAAAAATAATAGAAAACTACGACGAGTCACTTCAGCAGAATCCAGATTTTCAATAATCTCATCAGCACATCACGGAATGGCACGCACAATAACAGCGAGTAAATATATAAAAAAAAAGCCACAGCACATCAATAACAACCCTCACACACCGGAACCCATTCCCTTCTGTATCTCCTGCAAAGTGCCCCCCTTGTTCCGCCATATTCTCATTCACGGGGTGTTACCCTCGCTTTATTGCAGTCCTGTTTCGGCCAAAAGGGGTTGAACGGGCCATTCCTGGCCCTGTTGCTTGGCGCATTTCCGATTGGCGTGCGCCGCGTGGACCAAATACGGCGGCGGGTCCCAGTCCGGTGGCGGCGAGTCGTTGGGACCGCATTGTGTTAGTATTTCCAGATGCCGCATGTACCTAATGGCCACCCTAGAAGGGAAAGAGGATTTTTCTTTTATTTATTTTTTCTGTAATTTTTGGTTATTTAAAAAAAGCATTGAGTGAGTGCAAGCTGGAGTTGGTTGATGGAGGAGCTGCATCAGTCAGTGGATGATGGGATTTAGATTCTGGATTTTGATGTTGGAGTGCTGCAGAATCTGTTCCTGTCTCAATTGTGGACCTCATGAAGTCAAAATTTCTGAAGACAAGGAAGAGCACAACAGTCAACCCTTGCATTGTCTGCTAGCAGCAAGAAAGGAATGACGGAACGTATTTGATGACACATTCTTCACAGACAATAAAATTGATAATTAATCCTCTTATTTGCACATGCTGTCAGAAATGATTTTAGAATGAGGGTGTGTTCATAAGGTGTGTGAACCAGAGTTTCTCGTGATTCATAGTGTTATCCAGGAGATACTTGGATTTGTTTCCAAGACCTCTTTTTAAATTTCACCTTACTTTGAGGAAGCAAACAAGGTTTTCTCCCTCCAGCTGTTCCCCGCTTGTTTTGAAATCTCTCTTCACATGTCACCCCAGGTTAAACAGTGCGACGCGCTTTTGTCCTCCTTAACTGATAAAACTCCACCTCACTTCTTACAGTGACGAATGTTATCTGCGTAGCTATCTGCGCCACCGCACCTCTGAAATATGAATTTCAGAGGTATATACCGTATACAACAGATTTGCATATGTATATTGTGTTGTGTATCATGTTTCTAATATTTTGCTTCATGAGGTCCATGCACTCATGAATAATATACAAAATACCTTGTTGATGACCTATATACCTGAAAGGCATATATATTGCTGAGGAACAACATTTTCCTCAGATTTAATCCTGTGTTGACCACAGTTACTTCTCAGGGAACATTGTGTACATGTAACAAGATTCTCTTGAAAAAATTTGTTGGTCTTATTGTATTTGTCATTGAACAAAATTTGGTTGTGAATAAAAATCTCTTTTATGTATATATATTTGGAATTGTTTTACTAAAATCAGACAACAACAGGAAGATGTATGAAGACAAGTTTTTCTGAGAATTTGGATTCTTGGCATGATAGATTGTTCTCTACTGTTGATATTTGCAACACTTTCATTGCAGTGCAAGGATTTTTCAGAAATGTTCAAGCTGCAAGGAATAAAGAAAACACATGAAAACAAAAATGATCAAAAGAGCAAAATGTGGATAAACCCTAAATTTTTCATTAGGATTCCTGCAGAAAGCTTTTCATAAGAAAATCAAAAGTTACTGTTAGTGGCATTCTTTCTGAATTACTGTACTTCCATCACATTAGCATTGAACGATTTTTAAAACTATAGCATACCCTTTTCCAGATGTTCCCCAACTTCAGCTATGCAGCCAAAGCTACATTTTGGTGATCTTTGGTCATTGAAATGCACAAGCATTCAACAATATCCTGGCACCAATGTGTGATGGAATTTTACCCACTGCTATCCAAGGGTTAAATGTAATGCAAATGTAATTGGTCCATAAAATTCTGGCTTAAAGTTCTGCATCCTGTGATGACAGTTTCCTGTGAATAGTCTGTTTTTTTACATGGTGGAGATAATCAAGGAAATGCTTTTGGACAAATTGCACACCATCAACAAAAATTGCAGCCCCAATGACTTCTTTAAAAGTTTGCAGAAAGCATTTTCAGTCTTAGTTAATGCCACCCCACTAACTAAAACCTCTGCAAGTTGAATTTTTTGTTTGTTCCTCCAAATTTGACTTTCAGAGGTCTGTCAGCAGAACTCTGGTAGATTCCATCTACAACCAAAATTCAGGGTACCAAAAAAAAGTTTTACAGACAGAATTTTGCTGCATAGAACTCTATTATGGGCCCAGGAGAAAAAATTTACATGGACAAATAAATGTGGACAGAATCTACCTGTATAGTCACTCAAAATCAATAATGGATGAAAAATAAAATTGGAACCTTCTAAGTTTAATCTCCTCCAAGTAAAAAAAATCATGCTCTAATCCAAATTTCCAATGAATTGCTGATTAATGAATCTTTAACCTCTCTAATTGAATGCGTTTCATGTCAGAATTTTGTTTATCAAAGTTTTTGAGCTCTTAGCTCATTTTGATCTTACGGAATGCTTTATCTGAAAACACAACAAAAAGGGGGAAAGGGTTTTATTGATTTTATGGACAGAATGTAAAATAATTTTGTAAAGGGAGGAAATCTAGGAATTATGACAATTTTCTTGGATATTTCTACACAAATTATGCTATATTATGTTTCTCAATCTTTTGCTGACCTTTGGTTAAACCGAAATGCACCTGCACACAGGAAGAAATCTACACCACTGTTCAATGGAAAAGTATATCCTTTACTTTCCAAGTGCTAAGAGTGACCTTTGCCACATGATGTCTGAGTGACTCTTTTTGTATCCCTTTGAACCCCAATCTTTCTTTTCATGGAAAATGTAATAAAATTCTGCTCTTTCAGATTGGTTGGCTGATGTTTGAAAGTTCAGGGTTTGAAATCCGGAAAAGAAGGGTTTGAGATGAGAAAATTTTACACTATCCCAAAGATACCCTAGCATTCATTCAGTTCTGTGTTCAGCTGGAACTTCTGTTCATGAAATTTCAATGAATTTTATGTCTCATATTTGTTTTTCAAAATTCCCAAAAACACACTCTAGGTTACATAAATAAATCATAAATTCAACTCTAGCACCAGCAAGATTACAAACAATTCCTGGAATCATTGTATTTAAGTATGATTATATAATGATGCAACTTCTTTATCAGATTTATCTTGTTTTTATGCAGAAAATCATTGAAGCAATCAATTGATTACATCAAACAGTGATTTTTTAATCAGGAATATTCTATCCTTCTGGAAACTCAAAAGATTCTTTGACAAGCACAAACTCAATGCCACCAGTAAAAAATACATTAAAAATGGCTTCCAAAAATTGAAAAACGACCAGGAGATTTTTATTTGCACAAAAAATGTATTTGAACCATATAAGACAGTTTATCATCTTTCAAAAATTCAAAAAGTATTGGGGCGTTTTTCCAGGGACATAACTATTTCTGAACAATTATCAAATTGAGATAAGAGTAACCTCATTTTCCTGTAATTAAGAGGAACAGTAGGACTAAAACTCAAGTTCAAGCCAGATATTAATTGAAAACTTGGCACATTAACTGATTATTCTGCCAGCTGATTTTTCCTATTCCGCTCATCATCATGATATTTATGAAATACTGATTTCAATTCTCAAAAACACAAGCAAGTAAGTATCCGAGTGTTTAATAATCTCAGAGTTTTTGGTAATTTTTTTTCCTTCAACACTACCTTCTTCATCAATTTTATATTTTTATATCGAGTTTCAGCGAATAAAATAAGTAATTTGGAAATTCCCCAAAAATTATACACTGAGTCTGCAATGACTCCTGGAGAGTCCAAGTACAAATATTAATGGTTCTTGTCCAAAGTGCTACCTCACAGGTCCATTTGCATTCTGTGTAACCAACAATGCTGATCTCACCTGACCAGAATAATACGACGGAAATAAACTCTGCGAGACTCTGTTTTTAAGGAAGAAACAAGGAACCAATTTGCAAATCAGACGATTTAATCTTCTCTCACAAATGCAACTAAAATAAAACTGATGCTTGCGATAATTATTTTATATTTTATCTTTTCTTTGTCCATTGATTTCAGAGGTAAATCCTTTTTGTTAGCCCAGTGAAATCTATGATGATGGTAAAAAGCACAGATGTGAGTAAAGTTGCACAACAGACTTAATTTGTGCAACATACTATAGTATGTTGGGTGAAAAGCCAGTTGTGCAAATTCAATTATTAGAAAATTAAAATTTTTTCATTTTACAATTAGTTTTAAACCAATAACACAAGTCTGTTATGCGGATTTAGTCTGTTCCACAGGAGGGGAAACTGCCTCCAGAGGTAGTGTCTTGTGCAAAATATTTTGTGCTGGAGGTCTGTGATGTGACTAAATATTTTCCTTACCAACTAATGATTTTCCTTAATAAGAAGTGTGAGAAAAATGCTCTTGTATGGAATGTTGGAAACTTATTGAAGCTTTTTAGATTATACTCATCATGACAAGAACAAGCATACCACAAAAATATTTACTGATGAAAATATTATGAAGGTACTGAAACAGTTCTTATTTAAAGATTCATTTGAAATTTTTTCAGCATGTAAAGTTTTTAGTTAATTTGTGTTTTTTGATGATAAAATTCCATTAACAGCAAGAATAAGTATGAGCAGAAGGCAAAATATTTCTGCAGAAGCAACAAAGTTTCTTCAGTGACAGTACATGTTGACTTAAATTTCCTTCTCAGATGAAAATCGGACAGCAGATCAATCAGTCAGTATTTTATGTGTTCTTATTGATTGAATGATTTGTCTCAACTTTATCTGCCACTTCTTAGTTTGTAGAAGGTTTAAAAGAATTTGACATCCCCCATGCCTCCATTCAACACACTCTGGTATTTAGAAATAAGCACTGATTATTTAGGTATAAAAATAAAATACATCACATTGTGTATAAATGCATAAATAGTAAATTGCCATCATTTGTAATGTGACATGGATAACATCACAAAGCATTTACAGAGCACAAATTACAGCGCAAGAGATCTTCAGCCTGTTCCCAGATGAAATTCCATTTACCAAAATATGCTTTCAATAAGAGAAATAATACAAAGCTAACACTTATTTCTGGTTCTTGAAAATTTGGGAGAGTACAGACCCACTTCAGAAAAAGAATGCCACTTCTATTGGTACAAAATCACCACTGCAAATTTCTCACAATTTACTGTGTCAGACAAAATTTCAATCTCTATACAGATATTGACCTAATTCTAGACTCACCTGAGAGACTCGATCTTGGAAATCTTTTTTCCTGGTTGACAATAAAAGGGAAGCTGTCTTCTCAATGCTGCAAAAGCTCTGTTCATTTCTTGCATCCGGGATCGTTCCCTGTCACAAGCTGATTTCTTCTGATCCGCAACTGCAATGCAGGACCATGTGAGACAATCCACTCTCACCCATTCCACTTGCATATATAATGGTTGATGTTTTGGGAAATTTATTGAAACCTGGTCTTTTATGCATGATGGGCAAAAAAAAAAAAAAAATTCAGGCTAGCTCTTGCTACAATGGGATCAAATTATATGATATGTGAAATTGTTTTTGAGCAACCCAGTCATTCCATACAAATTTGCATGCTAGAGGTCACAGGAACCATGAGACTGGTACCCTGCTAGCTTGCAGGATTTTGAGTGGAGCAATATCCCACTGCTCAAATTGTTATTCATTTCTCAACCCCACCTCCTAAATTCTGTGGAATTTGTGCACTCTCTCCAAGGCAGAATAAAGTTTGCTGGCTAAATTACTGACAGCACTGTAGAACAGCATTTTAGTACGAGGAGTTCCCAACCAATTTTTTTGAACATTCACATTCAAATGGCTCATATGAAGATGCTGTGGCACTTGGGACTATATACAACTGCATATCATTTGAAAGAGAAATGAAAAAAAGATTTCATTTGGTGTCTATTCATGGCTACAGCTCTATACTACTCAGTTATTATGATTTTAATTTTTTTTACTTTTTTGGCCCACTGTATATAAACAGTGGGACCCAACATATACAGACAATTCAACTTCTGCAACTAAAAAAAGAATGATCAGCTCCAACATCTGGAAAATGTTTTCAGATATAGGCACACTTTTCCCACATTATAAAAGATTTGAAATACATGTAATTATACATTTTTATATATCTTGAACAATTCAAAAATATGAAAAATCATTTGAAAGTTACTTCAATTCATAAAAAAATGGGATAATTTTGTGCTGCTTTTTCAGAGTTTTTTCCATCATGTGTGCACAGTATACCAGTTTATATAGCTGGATTTTTCTTTGCTCTTTGGTTCTTGAGCTTCTTCTGATGCTGAAATTTCAGATTCTGTTTGGTATTCTTTAAAATACAATTATTTTTTGCATGTTGAAGTGGGTAGAAAGTTTTGTTCAATTTTTGGGACTTTATTTTGAGTAGGAGGAATGGGTACAGTTGGTGCTTGAGGTGGCAGGAACCACTTCTTTCTTAAAAATTCAATTCAAGAATGTGGCATGAAAACTTGCATAGCCTAAAATTTTAGGCTGCTGTGTGATCAGAGTTCTGCACTCCTGTTCCAATTTTTTTTTGGTACACCCAATTATGGATTACCTTGGGACCCCTGGTGGTAATTGTAAGGCTGTTCAGTTGTTGCTGCAGTCTGGGAGGACCCATTATTGACATTGCTTCCTTGGTCTGGGTTTGAGTCAATTGTGGCTAGAAGTGGCTCTGTTGTTGGGAAGCATGGTGAATGGTAAAAGGCGGATTCGAATGAAGGCAGTCTTGGGACATGACTGCCGAATCCATGTCTAGTGCTGCGCAGTAAATAGTGATCATCTCCCATATCCCCTGTGTGGGAAAGGAGACATGCTCATGAATAACAGTGACATGCAAGATATTCTGGGAGAAAACATTTCTGTCTTGAATCCTATTCTATCCAGAATGTTAAGCATATTTTTGTGCTTATTGTTCAATGAGATTTGCAGTCAGGCTCACCAGAAAGAAAGTGATGCTATGTTTACAATATTTACTCAAGTACCATTCACTCTCCTCCACTGTAAAGGTGGGCTCTCCACTACAAAATCCAATCAAGGGACAACAACAAAAAATGAATTCCAGAAAAAAGTTTGTTATACTTATAAGAGAGCCTCTTCAACCCTGGTGAGTCATAGTTGAGAAAATTTTCCAAACTTTTGTTCCCATGAGAACTAAAAAAAAAAAATTATACTTTTCTAACCATAATTTTAATCCTGCAGAAAATTTGGCCAGAAAATTAAAAAAAATTCCTCACAGGGTGTTTTTTTCCTGTATTCCTAGCATAAAATTATCATTGGAGATTTTTCAAAGCAACAGTATATTTTACACCCAGATTTTTCTTGACTGAAGTTTTCCCAACCCAAAGTAATTTCATTTACCTTCAGTTGAACTGAAATGCACCTTCCCCCAAAAAATTGAGGCTGGTCTAAAACTTTAGGTACAGGTGGAACCTGGAAATTTGGCCCAAATGCATTGTTGAACTAGGGTCAAATTTCAAAGTGGTCAAATTGCAGGACACTCAATTGTGAAATTCAAAAATATCAGAAAAAAGTAAAAAAAAGGGGGGGGGGCAAAGCTGGTTGAATTGTGGGTCAAGGGTCAAATTGCAAGTCAAACTCCAGGCAAATTCAAGTGTCAAATTGCAGAACAGTCAAATTGCAAGGTACTACCTGCATAAGTATGAAACAATCATATATGAATAGGAAGCACTTGGATTCTTCATTCATTTCAGCTAGCATTAAAAATATCATCCAATTCATTTTAGGTTCCCTTCTTAGCTCAATATTTTTATGCTTTATAGAGTGATGTAATGATTCAGGCGCCCCTTTATTGAGACTTTAGTGAAGGACAAGAATATATTTTCAGCGAAAGACTCAAATTTTTTCTTTCATTCTGAAAACTTTGAAAGTATCATAAATTCTATTTGTAGTACTGCTAACGTGAACTTGTGCTTATAAGTAGTCAAGATTTTTAACCCTTGAACAGTGGAGGGTTCTTTCCTGTTGCCAGCCCAAATTGGATTACTTTTGTATGCTGTGGCGTTTTAGGTTTTCTGAAGGTCAGAAAAGACCTTCCAGGTGGGCTGAGGCAATGTCAGGATTAATCCAAGAAAAGCTCATTGCTTAGCATAGCATTTTTTCTAATTTTCCCACAACATTTTTCTGTGCAAAATGAAAAAAAACATTGGGATTTTTCCAGACTTCCTCCTCAAATCCCTGTTGTCCTTTTTTATTATCTTCCCAAGGTGCAACAACATTTTGCAAAAATAGTCCGACTTTGCCACCCAAGGGTTAAAGACACTGACTGACCAGAGGGGTTCACAAAAAATATTATCAAGAAAACTCATACTCCGTCATTCAGATATTTTTGGAAGTTTCCATTTTCAATTATTACTTTTCTACTTCCAAAAAAGCCGGATAAATTCACTGATGATTAAATTATTCGTAACTCCGTGGAAATAATGGCGTGAATATCCGCGCAGAAACAGAATTCAACAAATTCAGAGGCAACTTTTTCGACACTGAAAAAATACATCCCTATTCCATGGTTATGAAATTTCACATGTTTAGAAAATATTCTTGAAATGTTATGAGGGCCGTGGGTTGCATCCGGAATGCAGGCCTACATTGCGAGGAACTGACGCGAATATCTGATGCTTCTTATTCCAAACCATTACAAAATAAGAGGTAAAAAAATATATATATAATTCATACATGTACGTGAAAGTGTGTTACGTTATTATCGCTTCGATTCTGCGGGTCTCGCAATATTAGCATGCAGTGATGCGGAACACACCTGCGAATTGGTGGGATGCCGTTGATGGCTGATTTATCCCTCATTTGGACTCGAATTTACGAGGGCATTTTTCATGGTAATGTAATATATTTGACGCACCAAGCAACACGTCAGGACTGCAAATATTTCACGTTTTTGAATCAATTTCCTCTCAGGTTACACCAGCTCGAAATACTGTACTGTACTGTATTGCAGTCAAGCCTTGGTGAACAAACCTGATTGAGTCCTTTTGAGGACCAAATTCAATTTTCTGGTGGAATAATTAATTCATTTAATGAAATTTCCTTCTTCCTGACACTAGCTCACCACGATGATTTAAACTTGCAGCGCTATAGGTTCAAAAAGTACAGATGCTATTCCTCAAAATCTTAAACTCACATAGACAATGAAAAACAAAGATTTCTACTGTTCTTGTTTATTTTCTACCGCGTTTAAAATGACAAGTTTTTGGGTTAATTTTCTGTGAAAGTTCATGGCGTGGATAATTGAGAAATGTTCAAAAAATGTAGCTCAGATGGAGTCTCTATACAATTATATAGTCTACAAAAATTACTCTATCAAAAGATTTTTCTTGGTTCCATAGGGGTTCTTTTTGTGAGTTAAATGGGTTCTCTGCAACAAATGACTGTATGTTCTCTTCAATTTTATTCTAATTACATCTACAACAATTTTCTCTGTGGAAGGAATTTTTTGTCCAATATGTTTCCCTCTCCATTTTATAGGGAATTCTTTCTACAATGAATTTTTCCTGGGTCTTTTAAATTTGATTGCATAGAGAGTCCTTCAAGCATAAAATTACAGTCAACAGACTGTGAAAATGAGAGTCACAGAAATTCTGTTTGACACAAAGAAAAACACTACTAAAGCGCAAATTGCATAAAAATTTGTAAATGAGCAATAATAATAGATTCGTTATCTATATAATCAGTTGTTGAAGATATTGAACTTCATATGCATTTTCAAAAAATGTATCTGTGGAGTTGGCACTGAAAAAATCTCCGTATCAGTTGAAAAAGATACTTTTGTCCAATTGCCATTGAATTTATAAAATCATTCCTGGATAATCACTGGACATGTTGTCCAATTTTAATCCAAAAGTTGTCCAAGTTCCCTCCAAAATGATTTCATGGATGATCCCACTGTCAGATGCCCAGTTTTATTTTGTGGAGTGTGTTCTCTTTTATTTTTTCATCAATTTGTGCTTTGTTTCCTGCTTTGAAGTGATTGAATGTCTTTGAGGGGTTTTTTGTTGGGTGGGGAGGGGGTTTGGATGTGGGAGTCTTGGTTGTGCCTTGTGAACGCTGAAAAGCGGCAAATAAAGTGTTCTGTTCATTCATTCATTCATCCCAAAGTCATCCAAAAGCAGTGGTATTTCACATAACAATCTGAAAAGTTGCCCAGCTTTCATCCAAAACTGTCCTTCACAGAGCAGGTCCAAAGCAAGTACATTTTTGCAAGAAACTAGGACAAGTTCCTTATTTGGATGAGTTTTGGACTAAAAATGGACAACTTCTTGCTTACTATCCAAAGTGTTTCATCCTTCAAAATCAAAATTATAGAATAAACAACCTAAGGCCCATATGTTTAAAATTCTTTAGCTTAGGTCAAGGA